TGCCCTCTGAACAGGCTGTAGAGCTTCTCTTGCAGGGAGGATAATACAAGTGAGGTAATGGCTGTGGATGCTTTTGAAGAGGAAAAACCTCTTGCATTTATTTTTCTGAAGTAGTTTGTAAAACAGTTGGATTTGGCTCAAAACCAGCTCCCAGCCAAGCCTGATGTCTCTTGAACTCTTGCTCCCAGTGAGGCTTCAGGTTCAGCACTGGATTTGCTCTGAAAGCCTTCACTGCACTGAGTTCTTAGGACATTCTGCAGGACAAGACTATCTCAACAGACTAAGTGGCACTACTGTTGGAAGAAAAGTTGCATTCACCCAGTGAAAACAAGGGTGGCTGAGTCACAGGAAGATCCCAGACCCTGCCCAAGAGGGAGCTCTACTCAGTCTAAGGGAAACATAGAGAAATATGAGAATTTCTCCTGTCTGATTCTAATACAGGGCTGCTGGCTGCTTGGGAAGAGCTGGAAAATTCACTGACAGATCAATAGCCCTCACGTGCTGTCTGCTAATTAAAACCCCAGTGGCACAGTGTGCTGCTTTGGAGAGGCAGCACCTTTTCCAGCAGCTGAACACCTCCTGCATTCCATAAGAAATAAAAGATATGTCAGTCTTAATACTGACATGCACAGTCCTAGGTTAGACTAATTTAAACGTGGTACTTTACCTCTGTTTTTTGAGGCTGCTTTTTCTTGTCAGTGAGAACTTTGCATGGAGGGAAAAACCCAACAGATTATTTCACAGCTAAAGCCTCACTCTTTTATTCTACTTCAACTGGTATAAATCAGGAGTTGTTCTGTACAAGTCAGTGGAACATCATATGTTTAAATTGAAATAACATAGTCCTCTACTGTCTTCTTGTAGCACATTTAAGAAGCAATAATTGATTATCTGATGCCTTTTGTGCTGTATAGGGAGGTGTTGTGGTCCTGAAAAGTTTTGCACACTGTCAGTGACAGACACAGGACTGGCTGGACAGGAGTTTTCAAAGTAATTATAGAAACTCGCTTCTTTGAGAATAGAAACTTAAGGAAACTGGTGTGTGAAGGACAACTCAGTTGTACTAGTACAGCCAAAGGAATAACAAAACCCAAGAAAAAACCCCAACATCCTGAAGCCCTGAAGCTTTAGTTCAGGCAAAATTTCCAGTGACCTAGGAAAGATCTAAAATTATGCATTGGCGTGCCAATGAAGAGAACATGTCACTAAGAAAACTAAAGCATGTAAGTGCCTAGCTGAGCTGGGGAGCATTACTCACACTCACTAACATGCTGCAATTGTCCGTGTCTGAAGAAAAGAGACCACCCTGTATTCATCTGAGCAGAGCACCAATTACTGCAGAGCAGCCATCTAACTTTATCTCCTGCTTCTGTGGGTTTTACTTTGTTTGCTATGACATAATGTGGCCCAGCCTAATCCTAGAAACAGAGAAAAAACTGCTTGCATTTTGCTATGTTTCAGTAAAAGCAGAAGTATTATCCAGCATAAGGAGAAGATCATCTTAATATCCGTTTTTAAACTCCTAAAAGCTTCAAATAAAAAGAGCTTGAGCTAACCTACATTTGCTGCACTTTATTTATAAACAGAATGCTTTGTCATCAGATATATTTAACCTCAGATGTAAGAATACAGTTGCCTCAAAACAAGGCATAAGGGGATAGATGCAAGTGAAGGCTCCATTCAGTAAGATGAATTCATAATTCGAATGAAGCCTAGGGAAAAAAAAACCCAACTAGTCTAGCAAAGAAAATTATTCAAATACTTTTTTTCCTGGCATAAAAAAAAAGGATTGATTTGCATGGAACGTCAAGCAGGAAAAGCTACTGAACAAACGAAACATCTGCAGCCCTGAGTTTGCTGGGGCTCCCTCAAGCGGTGCTCTGACTTGCAGCACTGTGATAGACTTCACCATTCACCAGGCTGGAGAGAAAGCTCTTCTGCTCTCCTCACATGAGCAGCTCCTTTCTGTTCCTCTCTCTCCTTGGCAGCAGAAGCTTGCATCAAAAGGAAACTGTATTAAGGAGAATAAAAGCAGAGGGTGTTAAGTCGGTTATACACTCAGTGAATGAGGCGACAGAGTTACAAAGAGAAAAAAATGCAGCAGCAGAACACAAACACAAAGCTGCTGTGTTCCAGGAGCCAGCTGGAGAAAGAAAGTGCTATTTGTGAGGGAGCAGCTCTTTGAAACTTCATAGCCTGACTCAGAGCCTTTGGTGCCAGCAGAAGTCCTGCTAGCCTCCCTGAACTTTAGATCAAGCCCTTCTCAGTGTTTTATATTGTTGCACCTAACATTAAAGAATGACGTATTTTCCCTAGAGGTTAATGCACTTAAGGAGTATTTTTAGTTACAGATAGCAAAGTTTCCTTAAAGGAAGCATTTGACAAGATGTGCAAAAAATACTGCAATAGAAGTATTCATCTTTGGGCACGTGTATCTATATTGCAGCTCATTACAGGCCTTATCTACTTATTTGAGGAAAGAATAAATGTTGATAAGCTTTATGGAACTCAAAACCACTAAAGGTTTTTGTGATTAAACCCAAAACATAATATTATGCAGCCCTTCAGCTCCATAGATTTGATCTTAAGCTTTTAAAATCAAATGAGAGAGAACTAGTGAACAGATAGTAAAGAAAATTGGACATAAAGAAGTGTGACCAGCATTAAAGGAAGTTTTTATTGAGAATCTATCAAATTTCCCCCCCCTTTTTTCTCATGCTATTCACTCTGTATAATACCAGTAACTGTCCAAAGCAGGCATTAAGTTGGGATCAACCACTGACACAATTTCTAATAGAAGATAACCCCTTTCTACAAGCAGGAAGCCACCAGGTGCCTCCAACACTAACATGTTTTGAAAAGAAATCCTTGTGTGCAATACAGCAAGAACACTCACAGTCACACAGTGCCTAATTCTTGCTCACACAAGTTGATTCACGTGAACAGTTGGCCCAGCTCTATATGGCTCAAATTACTCCAAGGACTTGTTTGGGAGCTGCATGTTGTGGGAAAAAAAATAAAATCAGCCCAGATGATGATTCATAGGGTGGGGATTGTTTTCATTAGGAAAGAACAAAACCCCAAAGCTAAAGAATCCTGTTTTAAAAGGAGGTTTCCATACTGAATGCAGACTCCTGCCTGGATCTGGCAGCCATCCTGCTGGCAGAGCCAGGAATCCTGCACCTAGCAACGATACCAGGGAGGCTCCAGTGCCTGGGCACTTGATTTCCCCAAGAAAAAAGCAGAGAGGATCTGAGGGGGGAAAGCCTCTCCCAGCTATGCGTTGCCAAGCACATGAGAAAGGACAGCCCAAGCCCAGGCACAAACCAGGTCTCTGTTTCAGAGTTATTTAACTGAACACTAATTGCTGAAAAGCACTGCAGGCCTTATAAAGCCTGGCAGATTTAGGCACACCTTGGAGACAGATGTCACCAGAGCATGTGTGCTGGTCTGCTGGCTTTTACTGAGTGGCCCAGTGACACGAGCAGAGTGTTTGATTATGAAAGAGCAGTATTTTAATAAAAAACTGAGGATTTGTCTTCTGGTTCAGTACCATAAGAACCAAGACCCCCATTGGTCATAGGTGCAACAACTTGCAAAGACCTTAAAGCTACAGTTCATCAAACAAGTTGCTTTGGCTTGAAGCTGCAACAAAGGCAGCAGCTTCCTTTCCTCTCCCAGTGCTGTAGGCTTTGCCACATTCCTGCCCTTGCTTCTAAGAGATGAAGAGTTTTGCTCGTGTGAGTGCTTGCTGAAATTTCAGTCACATTTTCCTTAAGAAACGGGGGAGCACAACAGGCTACGTCCCAGCAAGCCTGGTGAACTGTTCCCAGCTAGCCTGGTGAACTGTTCCCAGCTAGCCTGGTGAACTGTTCCCAGCTAGCCTGGTGAACTGTTCCCAGCTAGCCTGGTGAACTGTTCCCAGCTAGCCTGGTGAACTGTTCCCAGCTAGCCTGGTGAACTGTTCCCAGCTAGCCTGGGCTGTCTGCCCTTTTATCCTGATGCCTCCAGCTTCCTTGCAGCCTCCTCCCCTTCTCCTGGCTGCCCAGCCGCCGTGGTCGCAGCTTCTGCTTTTGGGCAGGATTCGGTTCCCCATTGTTTCAGCAACTCTCTCACAGGGGCAAACTTTTTCCATATATGCTGATTGTCAGAGATTTGGTTCCTGTATTCCCACTTAAAAATATATTGCCTAAAGTTCAGCTGTTTCCATTATAGTTATTACCCCTCACTTCCTGCCCTTTCTGGCCTTGGATTTTAACCATCAGACTTCAGCCAACAGTACCCTTCCAAGTCGTGACTTTAAACTCTTGAAAAGGAAGAGGCTCACCTACACACTGGGATTAATAGCTGCCTATTTAATTTTTACTTGGAAAATTAATCAGACTACTAAAACTCACTTGTCCTTGCTAGAACCATAAAACTAAACCCCAAGCAAACAAGCCTCTTTTTTTTCCAGTATCATTTTCCTGCAGGTGACAGGAGAAATTATTTCAAAGCTGGCTTAATTAATAAAATCCAATCAATTACTATATTATCCTGAAGAAGTAATACTTGGGAAGACATTATTAATGGAGTTTATGCCGGATTAAATTTTCAGAACCAGTCTGCCTCAACCTGATGAGTCAGTCATCAGGCATCTGAAATGGCAACATGCCTAGAAAGGCAATTTGACATTTAAAGTGACATTAACCTGCAGGTTATCATGGGTTGGAAATTTCTCCTCCTAAATGAAAGGACTGGAAATGGAACTAATGCATCAAAGTGCAGACAATCAGCCCCTTCCTTACAGACTCAGATAAACATCTCAAATGAAAACACATGAATTGGGAGTGGAGGGAGAAGCTCTGAAGCATTTTCCGCTTTCCTCATCATACAGCTGGGAAAAAGAAAACATAAAAAATAGAAGGCCCTTCTGCATTTCATTCGTCCTTGGCACTGTTACAACCAGAGACTCAACAAGATCTACCTCAAACTCTTCTCCCACGTCTTTCTTCCGCTAGGAACTGGTGTTCCTTCACGCAGTCCCGGCTGGTGACATACATAGAAGCCTGCATGAAGGAGAAGTACATTGTCAACTCCCAACAGCCCTGTCCAAATGGAACCCCTGACTGCCAGAAGATCATGTAAGTATCCTAAATAAATAAAACCACTGAAGAAAACAGAATTTTCTCTGACGTGTCTAAATGATGTTTTCAGCAGTGTTGAATGACACATTCTAAAAAGAACTAAAGCATCGACACAGTTTAATACCAAAGTGATGTAGGGCTGCATTTATGTACCTAAAGGTGATCAGGCATTTAAGTAACCTGGGAGAACAACTGCCTTTCCAAGCCACCAAGTACAGGACTACAAGATGATTAAGCAATTTTTCATATCTTCCCACATGTTCAGAAAACATACAGAGACCATACCTTTTCCATGATTCTCAGGTCATAATATACACACATAACTTAAATCTCTCTGTCTGTGGCCATCAGAGAGACCATTTACATGGCAGGAGTCAGAGAACTGCAAATCCCCAGATGCTCACTGTTCTTTCACAAGGTCTGGCTGCCCAAGGAGTACTAGTGAAAGCCAGTAGTGTATCTTAAGGTGCATAGTTGAAGCTGGGAGACACACACTTTTTTTAAGCTGGACTCACACACACTTTTGAAGTGTTAAATTATATTTAGTTATCATCTACACGCCCTCACATCTGCGTAGGTATTTGGTTGCAAAAATGCTTTTGTTATTTGCTAATACAATTAACTTCTCTTTCTCTGAACAACAAAAAAAGTTTCATCATTATGCCCAGGGGAGTTTTTAACAAATTTGTCTCTTCCTTGGTGACTGTGAGGCTGACCACTGGAGCCTCTGACTGCATGTACGAACGTGCACACCCCTCCAGTTGTAAACAGTAATCCTGAAAAATAATCTTATGTAAGAAAGAACAATTGCTGTGGGCTGCCCATATGCTTTGCCAAGTAGCAGCGACAGAGATTATGACAAGTTTCTTAACTGCATTCTGCCCCAGTCATCTCTGACACACTTGGCACCCAAGTGCCACCCGCTGACAACAACTTCCAATCTGACACCCAGCCTGTTTCTCCACAGGTACAGGACAGCTCTGAAGCCAGTCTACCAAGTGAAACAGAAGGTTTTGAAGTCTTTGCAGTGGAAATGCTGCCCTGGATTTATTGGCAAGGACTGTGAACAGCCTGGTAAGGAAAGCTAGAGAACAAGTGTGAGAATGAACGACTAAATGCCAGGCACAATGGCAAAAAATAAGTTTGTCTATTTGCTTTTGCCTTTTTTTCAGAATCGGTGCCTTGTTTTATTTGGTCTGATATGCCCCAAATCACTGATACTTTGAGATAAGAAGTAGTTGTAATCATCTGAAGTTAGTAGTTAATTAGCATGAGCTATGTATTCTTCTGTTAACAGCAACCTTTGTAATCTTTACACATTGAGAAAGATATTGATTTGCTAGGGGAGCCTGCCAGATGTCCATCTAGACAAGTTCATCCAGGAATACCTAATTCTAGGTAGAAACTGGAGACATCAGAAAGCTACACTAGTATGTGAAATGCCCCCGTGGTCAGTTCATAGGATGAAATTATGTGGCTCAGGAAATCACACCTCCCAGTACCCAATGGGACTGCAAGAGAGATGGAGAGGGACTTTTTACAAGGGCATGACAGGACAAGGGGCTTCAAACTGAAAGAGAGCAGGTTTAGATTAGATATTAGGAAGAAATTCTTTATATGAAGATGATGAGGCACTGGTTGCCCAGAGAAGCTGTGGATGCCCCATCCCAGGAACTGTTCAAGGCCAGGTTGGATGGGGCTTTGAGCAACCTGGTTTAGTGGAAGGTTCCCTGCTATGGTGGGAGGGTTGGAACTGGGTGGTCTTTAAGGTCCCTTCCCATCCAAACCATCCAATGACTCTATGATCTGTGCAGCTGCTAAATAAAAGAGAGGGGAGACAGTGTGGTTTAAAAACTAAATGGTCGTTTAAAAATAGCATTGGTAGGATTTAGCAAATAAGACTTGAAAAGTGGAATTAAAACAGATTTAAGAATTTAAATGGAATTAAGGGAATTCAAATGGATAAAAGATAATTTCCTCTAGCAATTAAGGCAACCATAATAAAAAAGGCAAGCACGTGTGAAAATTTTCACGTCTAACTCGCCTACAGACTCCACAGATAAAAGTCTCTGTAGGTTTTGCTTTTCTTCACAGATAGCTTTGACTTGTAGATTTATCTCTATGTGGTGCCTCAGCCTGAACTTCATTTTTAATGTTGGAAAGATACTACCAAAAGCAGTGCTTCTAGTTTAGTCTCTCTTTTGTTACACTCACTGACCAATAGCAGCTCCTCCATCATCATCTCATCATTCACTGTTGGTGCCACCAGAACGTTCAGGTAACTGTGGAACAGGGAAGAGGAATTTGCAGATCTTTAGGTGGGACTCCCAGAAAAGGAAAAAAAAAAATGGCATCTATTTGCAATAGACTAATTCCTTAGGACCAATAACTTGGCATGAGTAAAAAACCCCCACGTTACTGCACAGCATTACCATGTATGCAATGTTGTAAGTCCGTGCAGGGAAAGAAAATTCTCCAGACAAGATGGTCTTTCCCCATGAATCCTGTCTCCACATCTGTTACCCTACACATGAAATTCCTCTGTGTTGTCTTGCTAAATTGTAGTAGTTTCTGCATCTAAAACATTTTCACAGTTTTATCACATCTCAATTGCAGATCCTAATTTTATTCCGGCGCCAGGAACTGAAATTGAAGGAGGAGAAGAAGAGTTCTCAAACCACAGTATGTGCTTGAAGTTATTTTGTTTGTCACCCTTTTACCTCTCAGCCACTGATCAGAAAGAACAAGTTATTTTAATCATTTTAACCTGATGAACTCTGGACAATCTCTCTAGTGAAAGCATCATTTGTGAAAGCTTTGAAACAATACGTTTATTGGCTTAAATGAGGGCTTTTGCTAGAACACTACACAAATGCTCAAGACAAAGCATCCCAAAGTTTCAAAGCTGTCTGCTGGCTGGTGATCAGTGATACCAATGGGGAATGCCAGCTGGTCCAGAGCCTTACATCTCTCGGTGCCAGGGATGTTAACCCCTTGCTCTGCCAAGTGGATTCACAGGAAAGCACACCAGGCTCACAATTCTACCAGAAAAACAACCCACTAGAAATGCTGTTTTAGAACAGCCTCCCAGTAGCTTTGAGTTTACTGTTATGAGGTACCATAGATTTGTATCTCAGGCACTTCAACCCACCAATCTGAGTACCAAGGTCTGTCCCTTACCACCTGGGGAACGGTGTGGCTTGCAGTGCTATTAAGTATCTTTTAGCAATTAGCCACAGCATAGTACTGCATAGTACTGCAGCAGAGTTTTCTTTACATTATGCTCTCAGCACTGAACCAATAAGCAGCTGGTTTGCACGACTGAATTATATAAAACAAGAGATTGAAAGGTCAAAGGTAACCTTGGAGGGTAAGAAGCCCTTGGGATAGCACAGTTTGAACACAGCAGTTTCAGCAGCTCTCAGTGTGTACTTTGAAACCTACAGCTGAAATTCGCAGGTGCTTATTTAGAACAACATTAGTTAAAGGGCCCCTCCATGAGTCAGCTCTGACACTTACACCCTGTGCTTCTGATTCCTCAGTGGAATGCCTCAATTGCTCTTTCATCCTCTCCTTTTATTCTGGATTGTTAAACCTTGCTATCTTTTCAGTCAATGCCTTGAAAGGAGTTAGTATTCCAAAACATTTTTATGGTATGGGGACGTTTCTAATTAAAGAGTATTTTATTGCCATCATGGCTGTTGTGGCTGAAGTTCTTTGCAGATATTTAAATACATTACGTTTTCATCACTGTCAAAAAAATTCTTTGCAAAGAAACTACAATTTAAGGTGCCACAAACCAACACCCCCCCAAATGTCAGCGTAAAATGTTCAGAGCAAAAAGCAGACAGGTGTTCTCAGAGGTGTGGTATGAATACCTGTCGCCTGGTCGCTGCACTCCGTTGCATGACTTTGTTTTCTCAATCTTGTGACTAGTGTCAACATCAGTGGATTCCAGAGACATGTTCGAAGTCATTCAAAATCATGAGGCTTTACTGGATGATCTTCAAAGTGATATTCATCAAGCAGTCAGCAACTTAGGTGACTTACAGAGGCTATTTGAGAACAACGGTACGAGCATGGTGTTAGAAGTGAACCAGAGCAACTCAGGTGAGAGGTCTGATGCAGAATTACCAGCCTGAGGTAGGCCCTGTAAGACCAGGCAGACCAGGAAGAAAACATGAAAGCAAAGATACCCTGATATTCCTTGGTCTGCTGGTTGCTTCTAGAGAGAGAAAAAATGGGTGCAATCCCAGTGCAAATGAAGGAACCCAAGAGTAACTTGAAATGGGAAATGTGATAGAAGGCAAATTTCAGAATATGCCTTAACTGAAGAATAAAGAGGTTGCTCACATTTAAAATTTGTTCATCTTACTATTCTGCTTCTGTGGCTTCTTCTATAGGGATACAGAGTTTAGATGTGGTTTTTGTTCTTTTTCTGTACTCATGCTATATACTCTCCTGTGTGGAATATCAGACTGGTTTATACAAAGAAATGAAACATTTTACCCTTCTCAGGAACATTATTCCTGCCCTATACAGGAGTGGGGGAAAAAAAAAAGCTACTGAATTTGACCTACTGTTGTGAGCCACTGGCTTACAGAAACAATTTCTAATGATACAGACTACTGTATTCAGTGAACTTCAAGGCACTCAAGTTTGAATTTTAATGTTAGAAATCAAGCCTTAGTATAAGTCACACCTAGTACAGATATTTCACAGATTTTTCAAGTTATTTACTCATGGCCTGGAATATTCAGCTGTTAAGATGCTGTCTAACTTTGTGAAGCATCAGAAAAAGAACAACATTAGGACACAGTGAAAAAAGGAAGGGCTCACCAACTAAGAACTGTTGGGAAAAAGGACAGTTATGGCCCCTTGCAAAACTGCCTGTCTAGGGGTTTCAAAAAGCATCATTTTTAAGACCTAAATGGGGAAATCAACATGTCTAAGTTGTTGTCAGCAGACTCACAGACACCATGTGCTTTACAGTAATCTTGATTTAAAACTAGGTTATTTTTGCAATTGTCAAAATTGTCAATATCATGAGTTCAAATATCTGGGAAGTAAGATGGCAACTACTATAGAGAAATGCATACTTGAGTTACCCTGGTTAGATAAAGTTGCGTTCTAAAACCAGAATTTAAACCTAATTAAATTATTTTTTTCAACTGTGTTAACAGATCCACAGGAAAGGCTTCTGCAGCAAGTTTTGTTTCCCCACGTGGAGAATTTTCTAAGGAAACATTTTAACCCAATGTGGGCAAGCTTCAACAGAAGCTTACAGAACCTCTCCAACATAGTAAGAAACCTGTCCCATGACGTGGAAGCCAACAAGAGAAGCATAGAAAGATTCCGAGAGAGCTCTGTGCCCAAGAAGGAATTCCAGGAGCTGGGAACTAAATTTGAATCAAAAGTCCAAGAAAACATAGTGAGAGCTGATCAGGTGAAAAGAGATATAGAGAACCAACTGCACATGCAGCAGGCCAACATTCACTACAATCTCAGCATGATCAAGGCAGACACTGACACAAAGCTCAAGAAGTTTCATAAGATACAGCAGTCCCATTTCTTAGCTTTGAACAACAGCATAGCAAAGGTGAAACAAGACCAAAACAATCTTGAAAATAAATTGGAGACTTTGGAAAGAAATTTAACAGAACTCTCTTTGCATCATGGTCCCAAAGATGAAAACAGCCAGACAACCATCAGACAAATAAATGACATTCTGGCAGGGCATGCAAAGCAGCTTAAAGAACTTTACATGGAGTCAGATGTGGCCTTTCAGAATATTGCAGTTTTAGAGAGGTGGTTTAAGGAGTTAAAAAAAAATATCTCAAAGTATAGGCCAGAAGATCTTACAATAACTTTAACTGAGAAATCAGTTATTATGGAAGAAAACAATGCAGCAATGGAAAGGCAAATATCAGAGTTCAACTACACTCTGTCAAACCTTCAGGAAAACTATTCAGATCTGTTGAGGTACATGGAGGAATGTAATTGCCAGAGAATATCTTCTGACACCGATGTACTCGAGGAAGATTCAAAGAACATCACTTATTCCCTTGAAGACACACAGTCAAATTTAAAGGATATGAAGCACTTAGAGTCAGTTCTCAGAGGTCTCCTGAGGAATGAAATTGAAGAGCTCTCCTCAGCTATCCCATCTATCCATCTGTCTCTCAGTCTCCGTCAAGAAGAAAACAGACAGCTCCAGTCACAAGTCACAGCTTTGTCAGAAGACATAGGCTCGATGAAGAAGAAAGATGAAGAAATTCATAGACACATCAAGTATCTCAACAGTTCTTTTGGCTCTCTTTTGGAAGATGCCATGCGGCATGAAGTAGCACTGGAGGCTTTACTGAAAGAAGAATTTGTGGATGTCTTGTTTGAAGACGATTTTAGCATCCTAATACCATCAGTATTTGAGCTGCAAGAATCTCTCAGACATATCTCAGACAAACTCCAAGAACAAAACGTGACTTTGGAGTCTCTTACAAGGAGATCTCATCTCTCAGAGAGAGGCCAACAGAACAATCGTGATGCTCGTACACCTCCCAACCACCCCAGAGAAGAAACACAAACGCCCTCTGCTCCAGACGAAGTCAGCAGCCAAGGCAGCACCAGAGAGCACATGGAACCCAACCACGAGGCTGCCAAAGACGACTCCTTGGACAGCTCGGCTTATAACGATATCATGACTCTGAAGAACGACATCAAACACCTGAGCCTGGCAATCAAGAGTCGTGAATCCAGGAGTGACGCGAATCCCTGCTGCAATCACACGATAGCAAATGCAATCGAGCCCCTCAACAGTTCTGTGGGGATTCTCTCCGCAGATTTAGCAACCGTCAAGCGGCATCTGGACGAACATCTGCTGATTTTTAAAAAGCTATTTGGAAGTAACGAAGAATTAGTTGCCTCAAAGATAAGTCTGGATGTTACAAAGATTCAGTCGATGCTGAACAGAAAAGAGGGAAGGCAACAGAAAGGTCAAGACAAGCAAAGAGACAAGAAAAGGCCTGAGAAGCACAGAGAAAATATGCAAGCGATAAGTGGAGGAAATACAGCGCACACAGAACTTTTGGAAAAAGGTATGTTCTTTTCTTTCACTTGCTTATGTGCAGGTCTAATTTCTTTCTGGACCCTGCTGTAAGTTCCACGTACAGAGCATATTAGTTATGAGATCTGCCAGGTACCTTGTGGGATGCTGGAGGGAGAAGTTCTGACATTAGTTAAGTCCTCCCCCTCTATCAAAAAAAGCAGTTTGAGTGAGAACCAAGTTGGTACTCTGCTGCATTTTGCTGGAGGCCAATAAAATTATACCTATTACAGCTGCTGGGAAATGGACTTCGAACTAATCCAACTTCAGAGGTTTAGAAGACCAATTTTGTCTGTAGATGTTCATGTTAATGCAGTAGCATTTTTGTAAGCTGCTGTGGAGTGTTAGGCTTTCTGGTCTTGCTTCTTTTTCCTGTTATTTGAATCTGGAAAAGTTTACTCAAAGCACCAAATCCTTCCCAAGGTGGACAGATACATTAAATGAACTGCTATAATTTGCACAAGTGGAACAGGGCAGACTGACCAGAGAGCACACACTCTCTCTTACAACTAAGCTTCAGAGACAAGTTTTCAGCTTATACTTCACTGGGACTGGCCAGTTCCCTTTCCCTGTAAACATGTGGCTATAAGGACCTGGTAATTACAACCACCACAGCTTCAGCATTGGCTTTTATGATTGTAGCCCTTGTTATGGACAAATAACAGAGCAAAAATCATCCCCTTCAGGCATCTGTGCTGCAAAACTTTGGTCAAGACTGAATAAGCAAAGAACATATTTTTAACTAATTTATTTTTAGGACAGTAAGAAGTGCTACTTTTTTTTTTTTTTCCTCTGGGTGATCTTAACCTTATACTTTTCCAAGAGCAGTGGTTCAGGTATTTCCAGGGAACCATTTGATCTAATCCCACACACATACCCATTTCAAGCATTTAGCTCTGCAAGGAAGCACACAAAAATCAGGCCTGACAGGGCTTCACCTTATCTCCCATCCTGATGACCTTGGGGAGAGAATACTTGCTTGCTGCTAAAATCCTTTTCCTTTTTCTTTTTCAGACTCCTTGGTGGCATTTCATGTGGGATTCTCAGAAGGAAAGGATAAAGAAAAACCTGTGAGGTTTAATGAAACATACTTCAATTATGGGAACAGTTATTTCCCTGAGCATGGCCACTTTAAAGCACCACATAAAGGCATCTACCTGTTTGTCATCTCTGTGGAGTTTAGTTCAGGACCAGCACTGGGACAACTCTCCTTTAGCCGTGGGTACAAAAGAACTCTCTCAAGTAGTCAGAGGAAAACACCAAATGGAAACACTGTGACTACTTTTGCTATGGCAGAAATGGAGAAGGGGGAGACAGTAAGCTTTGAAGTGCTGCAGGGCTCTGTGGTGAAGAGAAGTCCACCTGGGACAACTATGGGTGGATTCCTAATATCTAAAACTTGAATAGTGACATTTATGTTTTACTGATCTCTTTCCATAGATGCAATGGATCCATTCACTATTGCTTCATCTGTGATGTATTCAGTCCTACTGCATGTGTTTAAACATAGCACTACCCTAGGTTTGTCTTCATGCTTCTTTTCTGGAAGTGTTTGGCTTTTGATTAGTTGCTTATGAGCAGCAATGGGATTTTCTTTCAAGTGAAAAGCTAATGGTTTGGACTCCAAATGTATCAGCACACACATTCCCAAACCCTTCCACTGTGAGAATTGCACCTAAATGTTTTGTGGGACTTTCCTCACTTAGAATGCATGTAATTTCTCCTTTCCCTTGGCAAATACCCCCACCACTGGCAAGGAAGACATTTTTAGACAGGACTGCATATAGCAACTCTGGTACTATGTGAATGGTACCTCAAAACCCAGAAGCCAGGGAAATTTTACCTTTTAGTTCTCTATGGACCACAGGCAGTCACAGACTATCTTGGAAACTTCTGCAACTCACTCGTGTTTAGGTCTGTGCACAACAGGAACACCAGCAGAGACCTGTCAAATCCAGTAAGATTCACTCTATGCTAATATTTGCAAGCAAGAATATTCTAAATGGCCCAGTCTTCATTTCTGGGCCTGTGTTGTATTTCAACTACACTGCAAACATTTAACAGTAATATAACGTTAAGATGAATTACATCTTAATAATTTAAAAATATTGGTGAAAATGCAGTTTATTTCTAAAGGTAATCTTGAAGACAATCATGAATTCAGCCCAGAGTCCTGCATTGAGTAAATATTTTAAAACCAAACAAGCAAGCAAGCAAAACCAACAACAAAAAGGCAAGGTGATTGGTCTGCTCTCATTGATGAATATGCATTTCTAATAAGAGTAAACCAAGGAGTAGAATTTTTGAACCTTGGGATTTTTTTTTTTTAATTTTCAAAAATCTCAAAATGACCATGTCTGGTCATGTCCTAAGCTTTTCTTCTGAAAAATAAAACATCCCAAAGATCTTCATTGTAAAGAAGTTCAAGTATTGTAGTATTTTTCTTTGTTTACCCTAACACCTTACAAAGCAATATTAAAGCAATTAAATTTGCCAAATCGAAATGCACTTTGAAATTGCAAGTATTTTTGAGGAAGAGGTAAATTCTTATTATGTAATTTGTGCCCTTTTAAGGTAGCATTTTCTAACAGAAATCTATCCTGCTGTTAAGGGCTTTTCTCCCCACCTACTTGTATTCAAACCAACGCTAAACTACAAAATTTTTAAAAAACCCCAACCCATTGGTACCAACACATGTTGCACTTTGGGCAACAGTTTGACAAGCAGACAACACATATCTTCTGAAATAAAACTACAAAACAGTTTCAGTTGGTGAGAAGATTGCTACTCTCCATCCTGAAAAATCCAACAGAGCAAACAATGAAAAATTCTCCCCCACCTCCTCCTGGCCAATGCTGATTTCCACATGAGATTAACAGGCCAAGTGTCCCAGTTTATCTGGCACAGAGCCACCTTTCACACTGCTCTGCAGCAGGCAGCACACACTGCCTGCAAGCTCAGGGTCATCTTCTGTCCCACAGATTGTTCAGGTATCTGAGGGAAGGGAGAGAAGAAAAAAATGTAAACAGTGAAATGTCAGAACTGAAGGGCAGCATCAAACTGTGACTGGGTTCTTTCAGTACAAAGCTACTATACTGGGGTGACCCACATGTTTTTTTTTACCAGTGCTCCTCCAATTACAGACTGTTCCACAGTTAAATACAGATGAGGGATATGCAGATATTTAAAAACACTGCTTGTTTTTAAACAGAAAGCTTCAACTGGAATGAAACCCAGTTGGAATGAAACCCATAGCTACTTGGAAAAGGACATGGTAGGTAGCAGACAGGACTTGTAAAGGTTTGGTGTCCTTGTACTTACCAGAGTTTACTTTTGTTTAAGAATACACAAGGTGAGTTCAGAGATCACTGACCTCAGAGTGAAAAAAATGTTAATATAAAGATGTTTTCATATTTGTATTCTTCAAATATGTGCTTAAGTTAGTCACCTGCATATACAAAGAAGACACACTTGACTGGAAGACTCCTTTTCAGACTCTTAAGTGAAAAATTAATGAAAGTTAAAACACTACTGGTTGCATAAGCCAGGAAGACTGACTTCCTTGTCAAGCAACAAGATCATTAAGCTATTGAGCCGTGGTTGTGTTTTTTTTCGAAGTAATACACCAGATTTTTCATAAACTTCCACCTAAACCACTTCTTGCATTTTTTGGGGGGGTGGTGGTTTGGCTTTTTCCGTAAGATTAACGCAGCCACATCACCATGACCTGCATTTCTAGGTAACGGACCAGAGGAATCAATTTAATGAAGATAATTTAAAACATAGCTATTGGTTGGCTCAGTGGATTAACAGGGCAATTTCCAAACACAAAAAACAACCTGAAGCTGACCATAGGCATTAGAAAGAGTTGCCTGTAAAAGCAGACAAGTTGCTTAAGTTTCTCTCAGACTAACATGCCTGATGGCCACATGTGTGCTCACTCCAAAATACAGATACATGTACTGTCAATCTGAGCCTTGTAGTTAAAAATACAAGCTTCCAACTGCTTTTAGTACTTCCTAGAAATCTGCCAGAAAACATTGCCAATACTTCAAGTTCCTGAATTTCCAGATCAAACCACTAAGCTTTGTAATAAGCTAGAAAGTTGTGCATCTTAATGCCTTCATGGAATTATTTTGTTACTGAACCTTCTGCTGCTTTATGAATGTCAGTATCTTATAGTACTTCACATTTTAAAATTAAAGTCTCCTCATGTTTTTTTCTTTTCCATTACTAAGATGACCCCCTTACTTTACTCAAAATCCAATGACTGATTGTATCGTATAGAAACAATTTTACTTTCTATAGATCCATCAGTGCCTGAATTCTACAGTCAGATTCACGTAAACTCTTCCAGACATGCACATCAAGCCAGTCTCTTAAGACCATGGAGGTCACCCCTCAGGAACCAGCCTCAGGAGGTGGGCAGCCCACAGCAGTGGTCCTCTCCCAGCTCAGATTCACAGCTGATGTGAACTTAATGCACTGACTCCACTGAGAAAGACCAAAGGGGTGTTTTGGGAAAAGCTGAAGATAAAGCTGCAGAAGGGATTAAGGAAATCAATGGGATTATATCTGATCCTATATTAAATTAGTGATACTTCTCCAATTTATTTGAAAGCCTGTGATTCAATTCACTAACTACTCAGTTTGCTTTTTGGCTTGCACACAAATATACATGTGGGGTATAGACGTCACTAAATAGAGTTGTTTCAGTTCTTAGATACTGATGCAAGCTCATCAGCAACATATTTTTATAGAGAGGTCAAAAATACCTATACATAAAGGATAACGTTTTGATCTTTATTATTAGCAGGCAGTAGAACTTATTTTCACTCTCCAGTTTTTTCCAAAGGCTCTTCCTGTCTTTAGGATACAGCATCACCCTGTGGTCATCTCTCGAAACAACACTGGGGAGGAAAAACTGCTCGTTAAAGACAGGTGCAAATAGTTATCCTCCCTCTTTTCATTACATCCTCCTGTAACACCAACATAAACATCCCAGTTTTAAATCCAACCACGATCAGTGTAATCAGTGAAGACATTCCACAAGCGACATAACAGCCACAACGGCAGGAAAAAGGGTTACTGTGCCAAGATGCTGACTACAAGGAGACCAAAACTTTGTGCAGTCTAATTTCCTGGTATTAAGGAAAAAAAGGTTTGAAACTACATAGGCTAGTCTTCCACTGTACTTTCCAGAACTCTACTGCAAGATTTTAACACTTCATGGTACAGGGGGAACAAATAAGGTTTATAATTATCTTTATAATATACTGATATCAGTTTATAATATGTTCAGATAACAAAACTTTCTAGCTAATGTAAAAAAACATATTTAAATCTCCTGATTAAAGGCAAAAAGAGAACAGGAATTGATCTTACTTCTTTTCTCCTTGCAAACTAAAATTGAACTCTACAGAGAGTAGAAGCCGATACGTTTCTGCAACGAGAAAACAAATTCTGACACTTTATATAATTGTGTACTCACAGATGAGATATCCCCTTGAATGGTCTTCATCTGCTTGAATCATATAAACCAGAGTAAATTTAGCAGGCTATACAGAAGCACCTGCATAATTTTGCACCCAACAGTACGTAAGTGTATTAAGCTCAAATCTCTCAATCTGTGTATTACTACACAAAAAGAACGTTGTATGCAGGGGGAACAAAAAGCCATCACATAATCCCCCTCCCTTTGTTTTTTTTTCTCTTTTTACTTGATGAGCTTGAGGAAAATTTATATGGATAAAACCAACATGTAGTGAACTTGCATATGTTCAAATAAAAGTATTATTTGACTTGCTTCTGGCTTTGCTGTAAGACAGGGATAAAAATCAGGAGAAGGAAACACTGGTTTTACTGTTGCACCCAAATTTAGTGCAAGGAATAAAGAGCCTGAACTTATAAAGCACCAAGTAATTCTGAACATCACTGAACAATGAAAGTGATCATTAACAACTTATTCAAAGACTGGGGGGGAAAAAACCAAACCATAAACGAGGTGTTAAAAAGTAGGGAATTATTTAGTTACAGTATTATGATTTCCAAGTCATTACATTTTTAAGGCAAAATCTTATAGTAACAAAACACATTACTAATGTGTACTAAAATAAGGTTATTTACTTAAAAATGATACATTGGACATAATCTGTGTACAGAACAAGCAATTCATGGTAAACTCAATAAGGCACCTTCTAAAGCAGATGCTGTACAAAATACATTAGTGTGTTACATTTTTATAGTATTCTACACTTCTGGCATATAACACACACAAGAGTGTGACCATTTGTCTCGTTCCACTCTTCTTTCATAGTTTATTTACATCTTCTCTAGGTTAACTACAATGTTATTTTTTCTTCTCTGTATACAATATAGTACATTTCATTCTGGGCATGTCATGTCAGAGCACAAACGTCACTACGTGATGTGGGTGGGCTTCTATAATTGCATTCAACGGCAGAACATTACAAAGCAACAGTTACATTAGATTTGTCAAGAAATCAGAAGTTATGTGCACTCCACTTCTGCTGTACAACCAAGGCTAGCACACCATGGCTCCATAAAGCACCATATCGTGCAACACTGCCAGCTGCTTTCCCACATCACCCCTCCTTGGAATAAAGATTGTGGGCACAGGATAAAGACTTTTGACTCAGAGGCACTGTCAGGAGAATGAGGAAGGGCTAAATCATTCTAATATTTCACAGAAAATGAGCACGTAACTTCCCTTTAAAAATATCTGCAATAGCAAAAGAATGGTTTTTAACTTTATATCTCCGCTTTTCAAACATTTTAGACCACTAAAATACAGTCTGTGAAGATAAAGTAGACAAAATGTATCCAAATGATTTGTTTTAAAAACACATTCAAATGGTCATTCAGATCAAGATCTAAAATTTTATTCTAGACTACTATGGAGGTAACTTAAAATATTGATTTTACATTTTATTCAAGACCTCAAAAAAGACTGACTGTGAAAATAATTGGGGAAAAGTGATGGATATTGGGAAAGCTGTATGTTTCTTGAGGAAAATTTACATTAAGTGAAACTCAGAATAAACTGAAAATGTAAGCCCACGTTTTTCTGTAGGAATATCATGTTTCTTGTGGAATTTAGAAGTTAACCAGGGACACCAAAAAATTTCCTTTCAGTTGCTGTAACAATAAGAATTATATAAGTGACTCAAAATATTTTCCATCTAACTGAAATCACATGGAGCGAGTTAAATAAACACAAAAAATCCCTCCATATGAGTGTTTAAGAACTTCCAAGGCACAGTCTTGATAGTCCCCAAGATATTTTCCACCCACTTGATATTTGCATTAAAAAAAAGAAAGAAGTCACCTTTGCCTGTTCTGGAGGACATTTCTTTGGATGACAAATGCTTACAATATTGACCAAGAACATGAGATTAATCACAGTCCAATAGATGAATCCTATTGCCCTCCCTGACCTTAAAGGCTTCTGAACTCAACAGCATTGCATGAAAGAACAATTTACCTTTAGAGTCTGCACTAATTGTGCTTAATTACGTAAAAATTAATGGGCTAGCTTTGAGCATATTTTTTTTCTCCCAAATGATTGTTAAAATATCCATACAGACACACTTAGGCTCCAAACAGTGAATGACTTTGCACAGAACACAGGTATGTGCTCAAGTGCTTTATGCAACCACATACTTTAGTGTTAACATTTTGCTGGGTATCAGGGAATCAAGGAAGCTCCTGTTCAGGACCATAAAAATGACATATGTGTGACACTTTTGAGTATGAACCTCGTAACTGAAGTGCTGAAAAATTATGTTTAAGGCAAAAAGATTTTTTTCTCTCAAAAAAACCATCTTTGCAGCAGTTGGCTAACTTGACATCAATGTGTAAATCAATTTAGGTCCTAAGATGTCTAACCAAAGATCACCATCCTATTGCCTTGCAAATGCCTAAACAATGGCAAAGAAAACAAGGGGAAAATTATAAACTGTTGAAATTCATGCTTCCAGCAGGGGCTTCCTGAAGACTTGGGAAAAATGAACTAAAAGAATACACAAAACAAGTTTACAGCTAATAACAACGTGGCAACTCCTAAAAGAAGTACCAATATTTTTAATAGGAACAGGTTATTTTAAACAGACCTCCATGCTTTGAAAGTTTAAGCTAGCAGGGTACCTACATAATCATTTTTTCCTTCTTATTGATAAAAATCCTAGGGAAGGAAAAAAAAAAGCCTATCCCTTACTTTATTTGGCTTATACCAAACATCTTCCATCTACCTGTGCAAAAATTATGTGCGAAGACATGATTCACAATTTCAAAATCATCATCTATTTCTTGGCAATGGACGGAAAAACCTTTTTTTTAAAAGCCCTTTATCATGAGGATTGTGGCACATTATCATATATCTCTTGCTGTTTTCAAATAAGTTAAAACCATAGTTGACACACCTATGAACTTCTCAGCCAGAATACATATTAATACTTAAAGGCATTACTAAACAAAAGTAATGACTTTATTAAAAAAAAAAAAAAAAGAAATGTCCCTCGAAATAGCTAGTTTTCTATAAAATATGTAGAACTGTTAAATAAAGTCTGTACATCACAATAGAAAATAAAAATACTGCAATCTTTTGCCTGACCATTTACATTACGGGAACTACAGGATTAAAACAAAAAAAAGTAACATGCTAGAAGGCTGTAATTGTTCACAAATCACATTAGTTCTGCATTACATTGTTTTCTATCAGTTGTATTTTCAAGGGAAATTTAAACACATATCAAAACAATCTCCATGTACATATTTTAAGACAACAAATAATCTGGCATAAATCAATCTGAAGTTTTAACATTTTTTCATCAATTTTAGTATTATTCTCAACTTTTTTCTTCAAATCTCGACTATGGCATGTGTGTGTGTGTGTGTGCATGTATCTAATTGTACACATGTACCTAGAACTAGGTTTTTGTTGGCTTTTTTTTTTACTAAAGCACAAAACACACTGTATAAATAACTTCCCTTTTTAAAGTTACCAAGAACAAGACTTACAGTACAAAGTTATAGGCACTTGAATTATCAAATAGATTCAATGGTTCCAATACTGTGTGTTCATTCTTCAGATGATTCATGCATTTGAAGCTTCAGCTTGAGTTATGGTACTACTTTCTAACTTCAAAGTAGAAGTGCCAAAGGAGTTATAAATCCATAATTCTGCCTTACAGTAACCTCATGGAGGGTTCTGGCTTTTAATCAACTTGTGTGGGTCAGTGACAAAAAGGAGGGAACTACAGTTTCCTGTGCAGGCCAAATAGTTGGCACAATAAGACCAAATTTTGCAGTTATGCAACTTACTGTATCTTCATGAATTAATTTCAAAGCCATTTCTCCCAAATGTCCTTAACTAGAACTTAAAACATCAATTGATTTACCTTGTTTCAAATCTTGACTTTTGTAACTGTGCACTAAGTGGCCCACAGATGTGGCCTCCTGTGTTTAACCTCAGGGCAAGCAGCTCAACATCTTCTGCACCTTGTGGATCTTCAAGAGTTCATGTATTCAGTTCTCCTGGTTCTGACCTTTACTGTATTCTCTAGTCTTCTGAGCACCCAGTGCTTCCTGCCTTCCCTCTTTTGTGCCTGTAAAACAAACTTGTTCACAAGCTTTTCAAAACTTATCTCCTGCCTACTTTTGCCAAATGATGAAAAAGCATGCTCCTACAGCTGACAAATGCCCTCCTTTGTGGAAAAGAGTTCAGAGCGTGGCAGGCACCTGTCAGTGAGTCCCAATAAAGTAGAAAGGCAAAGCACATCATCAATGGTCTTTTTGCTAAGATGTAAAGTATTCTGTGGCAAAAATGCTGGTTGCGTGTGGCATTTTGGAAAAAAATGCCAAATTTCATAGTCATCCAATTGAGGAGCTCACTAGACCATGAGTGAGATGACTGAGGCAGCCTACACCTCAAGAGAGATTGTTTCAAGCTCTTTATAGACTTAGGTAGGCATTCCTGAACTGATTCATGGTTCACATTTTTGCAGTTCTCGTTGTGACTAAAACAAAAACAGAAATAAAATTAAAACTGAGATTTCAGAAGATAACTTAATGGCAAAGATTCTGCAGCAAATCTCTGATTGTAGAGCCACAAAATGCATGGAACCCTGACCATAAAAACTTTGTTCATTTAAATGGTTTCTTATATATTCCAAATGACAGCAAAATAATCCTGGCACACACATAAAGGCATAAGGAACTGTTAAACCGAGTAGTATCACAAACAGATTCATAACCTACAGGCTCTTTCACAAAAACTTGGTATGGATTGACTAGGTTTCATCAGGTAGAAGGCAAAAAAAAGCTTATATTCTCCATCTCTGTTGAATCCATATAGCTTGTTAGGCTTTCACAGAAAGCACTGTAATCTGAACATTCAATTCAGTACCCAGAGTTTTACTGGAGACTCATGAAGTATGATTGAAGTCTCAATGCAGCTCAAACCAAACCAAAACGTGTATTTCATCAAGGCTGTCCATATCCATGTAGTGTAGAGAGGCTCTCAGTATCACGGGCTATGAAGTACTGAAAGATCTGATTAGCAGCCTGTAGAAGTGTGCTGAGAAAATACACTGAATCTCAGTTATTTCCTCTTTCCTATTTCTATCTTCCTCACCCACGTTTGGGTGAGCAGATCTGGGAGTCCAGCTTTGCTCTCCAAAGTCATTTTCCTATGTCAAATCTTTACGTCTTGGGATTCCACCATCTTGGCAAGTGTCTTCTTGATCCTCAAGGCAGTGAGCCTCGAGGCAGGATTGTGAGCCCAGCATTCAGACATCAACTTCAGTATTGCTCTTAGACACTGTAAAATGAAAAACAAAAGAACAGTACTGTAACAACTGCCTGATCTGAGATGTATAATTTTAGTTCACTATCAAGGCCAAATTATACAACTTTTAAGTCCAAACGTGCAACTTCTACATTTTCTGTAAAACTGTTGGTAGGAAACTATTATGAACAGGTCTACTGAAAAAAATCCAAACCCAAACATCCACATCCCAATCCTTCTTTTCCCTCCCCCTCACAGCCTAGCATTTGCAGTAGCTGGAACTAACTGAAGTGTTGATTTAGTTTCCCAAAGATGCATTACCAGAACTTCTCGTTACAACTCAAGAACAGTGATACAAAAATGGCAGTAATAAGCAGAAAAATCTCCACTTTTATGTCAGGAAAACTGTGGAGAATTTTTTCATTGAAAATGAAGATGTGCCAACAGTTCTTTCAGCAGTCCAAAACAAAAAAAAAAAAAAAAGAAGAAAACTGGGAATTCCTAGAAGAAATCAGAGACTTTAAGGAAGAATGGATATGGCATATTGAACTTGCTCTGTGAAACAGTTATGTGTTGTTTACTGGGTTCAAGTCCTTTAAAAACACATCTAAAATGAAAATATTTTAGTTACGTCACAGCCTGTCCTGGAATGTAACAGTAAAAAAGGGAAAAAAAAAAATAGGAAATCCACAAAGGAATTGCTTCATATTCCATGAAATACCTTCTGCTACAAGCCAATATGCTATATACATTAAGATTAATAAAATACATTAAAACTTCATTTAAGTTTTATCTCCAGTCAAAACTCTGAACATATCCCACCACAGAAGACCTCAAGTAGAGCAGTATTCATACACTTCCCTCAGATACTGAAAAGATAAATAAAAAATTGAGTCTTTTGAATTGATTTCGAGCGTATCTTTCTCTCACTGGTGCTGTGAGTTTTTCAAAGTATCAGAATGTTTGAATGTAGTCCCTATTTCACAATGTTTTAATATTCATTACACTAAAAATACCCTTCCAATTAAGGCACAAACTGCACCAGCTCTCCCTTCCCGTGTACTCACTTCATCACTGTTCCATCTGTTTGACACGACCGGGCGCAGGCGTTTCACACACACCACTTCTCTCATGTCCTCATAGGATGGGTCATTTGGCACCATGTCATAATATGGCAACTGATACTCTTCAACAATACCTGGAGATAATTGTGAAAGATCAAGAACCATTAAAATAAATAAATCTACATATCTACTCTCGGATGTCCTTAGCCAGGAGCAAAAATTAACTCAACTTTGTGCCAAGTCAAACCAACCACACTGTTTGACTGGGATAAAAATCCAAAATTTTTACTGTAACAGTCAGACATTCCCCATAAAAGCTCCAATATTATGTTTATTAACTCCAATATTATCTTCATTAATTTTAATAGGTACAACAATTCCTTGCAGTGCCTTTGATTTTGATACCCAATGTAGAATTTGGCTTCTTCTAATCCACTACATGCTACAGAGAAGCACAGAGAAAGTGCAAGGTGGAAGAATACAGGTCAAGATCTACAAGGACAGAAAAGAAGAGTGAAAGAAGAGCCAGGATGAGTCACCAAAATATGTGTCAGGAGAAAACTGAATGACATCAGAAATGCAAGAAAGAATAATATCTTATCAACTACAGAAAGAATAATATATTATCAATTTCACAGGGTGAAACATCTACATCCCACTATTTCTCCCAAATCTGTAACAATCAAAAAGGTTGAGCTCAGTGATTTTCAAGCTGTTCTCTGGACAGATTATTTCTACTGCTTTTACAGAACACAAGCCTCACGATGAAACAAGCTTGTTATACCATTTCCTGTCGAAGCATTGCTAGGGTAAGGCCAAAGCCTGGTGGATTCTATGTTGAATATTTCAAAGTTTACCTCCTGTGACACAGCGCCGAGCCATTTCCCAAATGATCAGCCCAAAACTGTAGATGTCAGCCATGATGTACGGCTGGAAATGGTTTTTATTCAGGCTTTCATCCAGGACTTCTGGAGCCATGTAACGTTTTGTTCCCACTCTCGTATTCAAGGGAACATCAACTTCATTTGTGTCACTGTAAGAAAATATTAGGAAGTTAGTGAACTGTGGGCTATTACAAGACAAAGTATGAAATCTTGTATGAGGCAATCACTACACTGCCAAGCTCCCATTTACAAATTAAATTCTTTCTTATATTTCCCTCTCAATACTCTCAATACATTGTACTTTCCTGAAAAAGATTATCCAGTAAAATCATAGTGACTATGGTAGTTGACAGTTTACTGTTTCTTTTGCCCAACAAAACATAGAAAAAATACATTAAAAACCAGTATAAAGATGAATATATTTGGTGACAACTCAGAAAATTATTTGTAAAGGCTTATGCTTTCTTTTAGGCTCTACTGGAATAAGACTTAAAAATATAAAGTATTTAATAACACTATTATAGTATCACTTCTTCAATTAAATTTCAACTCCTTTTACACTGTTCAAATTTTCTATGAAAGAATTTATAATGAAACTACATTATAGCAATTACTATAAATGATCATTTGTCAATAACAAATTAGGTGGTCTCCTCTTCCTTTCCTCTAAAAAACTTTTATTTTCCATAAGAAGAGTATTTTAATTGTGCTCTTAACGATCTACTTTCATCATGATGCCTACCAGCACTCAAGAACATTTTACTCCCAAAACTGAAAAAAAAATATGAAAGCATGCAACCAAATGATTCCATCTTCCTTTTAAACTGAGTATCTGGTGCACTAAATAAAAAAACTACGCTAATGTTTGCCCATTACAGAGGATTTGTTCATCTACCTGTTAAACTTGACCGCGAGACCCAAGTCGGCAATGCAGCAGGTTCCATTTTTCTTTATCAAGATGTTTTTACTCTTCAGGTCCCTGTGTGCAATAGCAGGCTTGCCTTGTGTCCCATAGATTTCTGTGTGTAGATGGCACAGACCACATGCAGCAGAATAAGCCAGCTTGAGGAGAGCCCTGTTGTCCAGCGTTGTGCATTTCAGAAAATCATACAATGATCCGTTTTCATGATAATCTGTGATCAAGTAAAGCTGTGTCCAGGAGCCAGTGCCTTTAATATCTGCAGCTATGAAACCTGTGGAACACAGAAACAAAATTACTGTTGATTTGTACATAAATTTTTTATGCAGCAGATTCAGTAATAATTCCTAAAGCTATATTGTCTTGTACTGTATCAGGGGATATGCATCCCCCTTGTGAAAACTAATGATGCAGAAGCTCTGATTCTAACTGGACATGAGATTACCACTCCGGTCTTCCAGCAAAGACACGGCAGACACGTTTTCAACCAAGAGCAGCAAGATTCTGCCCTTTCAATTACATTTTATTAGCACATATTATCCCACAGAAACTGCCACAGACCCCTCAAGCCACTCCCTAAGAACTGCTCCTCCTCCTCCCTGACACCAGCCCTCCAGCAGGCAAACAGTGCACTGTTTCCTTACCAAGGATGTTTTCGTGACGCATTAAAACAGTTTGGTAAATCTCTGTTTCTCGGAACCAACTGGCTTCTTCTGTGGTGAAAAACACTTTGACTGCCACTTTTTCACCCCTCCATTTGCCCATCCACACTTCACCATACCGTCCTTTTCCAACTTGCCTTACCATCTGAATTTGTTTGGCGATAGTGCGCTGAACCTAAAGAAGATTAAAAAAAATTAAAAAAAAAAAGAAAGAAGAGGGTATAAGGCAGAGGAAGGAAAGCCAGCAGTTTACCAAAAATACCTGGCCAGGTATATCTTAAGCTTGGATTGCTTTGAATTTTGTTCCTACTGTAAAATTTGTTCTATGAAATTTTCCACTATTCTAGTGCCTCACCACCCTCATAGTCAAGAACTTCTTCCTAATATCCAAACTAAACCTATTCCCTTTGAGTTAAAAGCCATTTCCTGTTGTCCTATCACAACATGCCCTTGTGAAAAAGTCCCTCTCTGGCTTTCTTGTAGGTCTCTTTAGGTACTGAAAGGCTGCTATAAGGTCTCTCTGAAGGCTTCTATCAGTCAATAAAAAGCAAATCTATTTTATTAGTCAGTGGACACTAAGAAAATAAAATCTTTGAGTTCACTCAATTTGGTACTTGTACTAGCCATTTATTGCATTTTTATCTTAGTGTCTGTAGGCTCTAAGTTTTCTTTAAATTTTGCTGACACCAACAGATTTCATAACACGTTATCTAATTCTGCACTTCATTTTAGTTAATTATATGAAGACAAGCTTTAAACATGTTCAATTTGTACTTCACTTTTCATAATAATTGCATATAAAACATTAACATTCTGTACGGATAAACTGCTGTGTTCTAGGCATTGGGTACAAACCAAACTTTGTATGTGATGGAGAGAAATTCAGGGAAGAAAAAATCTTAGTTTACAATTTACCAACAACGGTAATCCTGATCCACTCCCAGAACTCTGTGACTGGTCAATAAGGTCTTTTAATGACTCCCCAGCTGGAATAAATGCTTCATCTTGTTCCAGGTCACGATTATAACAGTGCCTCTTTGCCATGGACTTACAGTAATGCCTGCAAAAGTAACAGGAGTTAAGCTGAACTCCAAAACAGTCCTCAAAATATGTAACAAACTGATCTAGGAAAGAAGCTATTTAAGTGTAGAAGTTTTCTAAAAGAAAAAAAAGAGAATCAGATTTTGCTGTATCTTTTTTTCCCTGAAATGTACTTACATAGCTTTTTCCTATTAAGAAGCTGTAAAGCATGTACAGGCATGTCAGTTGATTATGAGTCAGGTGGAAAACCAGCATTTTAATAGTCAGCTCACAGCCAGTGTTCCTAGTAAAACACGCCTTGATTTTGGTTTAAACTTACAGACTGGACCTTGAACCATGGCAGATGAGGTTGACATCAACCTTTCCTCTGAAATTTCTAGACCAATGACCACCTCCAGCACAGGGCTGGAGCTGACAGAGGCACCTGAATGGATTGCCATAGCTCAGCTGGTCAATTATTTAGCTTTGGAACACAGCAGAAAAAGGAAAATCTCAGAAGCAGATGGAATTTAATTATCAAAAGTGACTGAAGTTCTGTGTAGCTTAGAAAACTGCACATACTTGGTAGCCAGAGGAAAGGATCAAATTCACTTAAAATTCTCTGCTGAGAACATTTTGTTTTACCTAGCAATGCAAACTGCTACCCACAGAAATGTGACATTAAATTACAGTGGTTTCCAAGTTACATATGAGCAACTGAGTACATTTACAAAATAACTGTTCTGTTTACACTCAATTTGCAAAATTAAAAATTTTGTCAACAAAGAGAGTCCTTTCCTTACTTGTAACAAAAGCAGCTAAATAAGATGACCATGACAATTATGCAGACTGCCATAGAAATCAACACTGCCATCCAACGGATGCTGCCATCAAAAAGTCCATCTATTTGACAAAAAAGAGAAAGAGAAAAAAAGTTTCTAAAGTCTGTAAATTAAATACATATTGTAAACAGTTTATTTAGGTATATTTTCAAATACTGTGTATCGAAGTAAGTATTGAAACCAGAAAAGCAGAGAATATCATTTGGATGAAAACAAACAGACAAAAAAAAGGATTTAACTTGAGATTTTGAAGTTGTAGACTCCTGTTAGTTTAGAAATAGAAAGATTTAGAGCAGTAAGATTCTGAGAAGGTATAAAGCAACAGTTAAACCAGTACAACTTGCCTAGCAATGAATGAGTAAGCACATGAAAACAAACTATTTTCACTGGGAACAACAGAAAGAAGAGAATAAATTTACAGCAGAGAACAGTAAACAATGCCAGAATACCTTTTTATGATACATTCATAATGGCAAAAGCACAGCAGAAATTAGAAAAAGCATTTTAAAAAAAAAGAACAGATTCTGGAACCAAAATAAAACCAGAGATCACATGCAGATCAAGGTATGAGCACACTGAGAAAGAGACTAAAAATACCAAGAGTGATGGTATTGATGAAGAAAAAGATTAACTTGAAAGTGGAAAAAAAGGAAAAGGGAAAATAGAGGATGAAGTGTAATATAAAGCTTCACAGAAAAACTACTGAATCCAGAAAAAGCAGATCTGTGGAATACTGTAATTACATTTTCACATGTTTAGCTGTTGATTAGGAAGAACAGAATCTCCACAGAGAGCATTTATTAGTAGCAGTGTTAACACAGAGGAGTTGCTTACCTGTGCTATCAAGAGGTGGTAAGGTTGGCTGTAAATCCTGATTGCAGAAATCAGTGCGGCAGCACTCGATCGTCCGACGCAGCTGTGCTTTGGGGGAGTCCTGTTCGAGGAGAATCGAATAAATGGTCACATTTTGAAGACAAAACGTGGACAGGTGGTGCTATGGTTACAACATAGCACAGACAAAAGCTGAAGCTATTTTATTTAAAAAACACTTCAACCTCACTGTTTAATATATGAGGATCACTTCGCAGCGGCAGACAGGCATCATGTAATCTCTTGGAGTGCATACACTAGATGTTACTTTTTTTTATATTTCACATGACTTTTTCTACTTGGTGAACAGAAATACATGGTTTCTAATTAAGTTGCTATTTCATAAATTGTAAATTTTTTAAGATTAGTCAAAACCAGTTAATAATATGTTAAATAAATACTGCTCTAAAGACAAACCCCAATCGCTTTAGAAGCTTTTCTCCTGTACCCATCATAGCAGCACTGTTTGCTTTAAAAACATCTTCAGAACACCATATAAAAGATGGAGGGGCATGAAAATGAAACTGAAACTAAGTCACTAAATATAAACAAGAACAGTTTCAGGAGGTCATCATGACACCTAGGTCTGATTTGCAGTAACCCTAAATACTCACAGCAATAACTGAAGTCAACAGTGCTTCCAAAAAGCAGTGCTACTGACAGCTGTGTTATATGGAAACTCAAGCCCTAGGGATCTAAAAACTTAAAATTATCCCAAACAGTGACAGCGCTGAGGTGGGCAGGGAGAGTGGCTTGGTGAGCTCTGCTTCCAGCTCAGTACTCTGGGATGAATCCCATCTGGCCCCACTGACAGCAGGTCACTGCTTCCTCCAGGACTGCAGGGGCTCTATTCTGCTCCCCATCCCTGCCTACCAGCTCAAAGGGTTGGCTGCTCTGAGGATAACCAGTCTTACTGCTAATGGCTAAGGCAAAGAAGGCATTAAATACCTCAGCCTTTTCCTCATCCTTGGTTACAATTTTCCCTTCTGCATCCAACAAAGGATGGAGATTTTCCTTGGCCCCATTTTTGTCATTGATGTATTTATAAAAACACTTTTTACTATCTTTCAAAGACTTTCTCCTGCAGAGAACTCCAACAAGCTAAGATTCTACCTTTGCTCGAGCACCATCAAATGTCCTTCCTGCCACTACTCACTCATGACTGTTTGGCCCTATTCTTCTCAGTGGTAAATGGCAACATGCAAAATTCTACAACTGCAGTTGTAAACTACAATTTTAATGGTATCTCATTTTTTTACCTTGCACTGGAAGTCTGAACCTTCATACTTCATGCAGCCAGAAGCAAGCGTGGGTTCTCCATGCTCATCTTCCTCAATGATAGCAAAGCAATGCCCGTTAGTTCTGGAATAAACACATCACTTGTGCTTTACCAGCATGTTTGTAATTTAATATGCAGCATTAGTTGACCTTGAACCCATTAAGAATATTAGAAAGAAAATATCTAGAAAAATTCTTCTTTAACACAGTGGCTACCATCCAGTTTGAGAACAAAAGACCCCCACAGGATTCTCAAACAGAACATACAGGGATGCCTTCTCACCAATACTCTCTTTTCTGCTTCCTCACCCCTCTTCAAGACTGCTCATATCCAACCACAGACACCCAGTTCAGGAACAACTGAGGGGATGGAAAAGCAGACTAAAAAAAGCTTACTAACACAATTTCATAAGTTAAAAAAAAATTCACTCATGTCTTGTTTGAAACAGCAATGATAAACTCTCAGAGAGAAGTCCCAGTATGTGTGTGGTGGTTGTTTCAAGATCTACAGCTTAGCCAGCCTTTTCCCACATAAGCTCTCTCAATTATTCAGCCTTTAGGGTAAAACAAACAAACAAACCACCGAATCCACTTTCTAAAACTGACAGTAACAAATTAATTACATTCTTTAAAAAAGAAAAAAAAAGACCCTTAATTTCCTCACTATCTCATTATACAATTGCTTTGACTTCTATACTGCCTGAAAATGTCAACAATATTTGTAAGGGATCCCAAACCAAATTGCAATGCTAGGTCTGTGATTTCAATGCCTGTAAAAGTAAGATTTGAGTAAATCAAACTTCATTCATTCTCTTACTATGGAAAACAAATCTAGAAATAATTTTGTCTTTACTACAATCTATTTAAATGAATGTAAAGAGATGCAAATTTGGGAAGCAAAATGCCATAAAATACCCTGCACATGGACACTGCATTGAAGTGTCATTAACTAACAGCTTTATTATCAGCATAATGACCTATACAGTCACCAGTTCAGACAAAAATTAGTAAAGTCTATACTGACTGCAAACACTAGAGGGCAATAAAAAACAATAAATAAATATCAAAGGATTTGAAAACAAAATACTACAACATTTTCTTGGTGCAAAACTATGTCTGTAAGATATTACCTGTGTTTACATTTAAAAAGACAGTAGTGTTTATTCTACCTCCTTGGGTTCCATAAAAACTGCCTTATCTGCCAAGTGACAGCTGTAGAGAGGCTGAATACTATGTGTTAAAGTGAAGACTCCAATTACTGCAGCAAGTAACATGTTTTCTACTATGTATATTAATTCTTAAGGCAGAAAACAGAAGGGCCTTAAGCATGAACTGCAAATGAAGAGAAACCAAAGGCATTTTATGATACGAAAAACACCTTAAGCAAGCATATAATCAGTGCATGAGTCTGTTAGGATCCTTATGCCTGTCAAAGATAACACTTCCCTCCTGTCCCTACATGTTCACAGGCTTTTCTTTTTTTCCTCCTGCCTTTCCTTCACAGTTGATAACTAATGAACACATAACAAGAATTCTCAGTACATGGCTATGTTGTCTAGGTGAAAAAATAAGCAAGCAAGTGGTGGTATCAGAAGGCTTAGGTTTGGGTCACTTAATACTCACCCAATTATAAAATACTACAGGTTATTTACTCAGCCCTTGAAAGCAGCTGCTGGGGGTGAAGTTGCTGGTTGCAAAGGGTTCTAAGTTATGCTGAAAACTGTATTGTTTACATACAGATGGCCATGGGTTTTAACACCTGGCTCTTCACAGAACCAGTGAGTGTCAAATCAATTATGGTCAAATCACCTGAGAGAACCTTGGTCAGCTCTCCAGAGGGAAGCTTGCTCTCTCCAAAGCCAAAATGAGCCTCTTCAAAGAGTCTTTCTAAGCCTCAATGCAATACTCACATGCATGTGTTATTAATAGCATCATCTGGACAATGTCCCGAGCAGTAGCACTTCAGAAAAGGTAAGGTGTCCTCTGGAGCAAGTGTGACTCCATTTGCTTGTTTCTTTTGGTCAGAATTTGTCTTCACTCCTGTGCCATGAAGCATGTCTAGATTTTGACCTGCACATTAAAAAAAATAAAGTACTTTTGCATCTCTCTGGTTCAAGACTTTTACAGGCAAAACATGACAACAGAATAATTATATTAAGAAATAATTGAACTGTGCAAGACACCAAAACTTCCTCTCCCAAGATTATGGCAGAAATTTGAGTTAATAATTTTATTCTAGAAATACCTAGCTCAAATATTTTTTTACCTTAACAGCAGATTTTCCAACTCTAATAAATCTGAACAGAAAGATACTTTCCCTTTTTAAGGTGGGGCAGAAAAGTAGTGATGTAACTGGTTAGAATTTTCTGAAGAAAGCCTTTCTCATTCATGTATTTAGAAAACCAAAATGCTGACTGCTTGATAACCACAACAAGAATAATTTTATGCATGACTGAACGTACTTAATATGCAATTTTTTCTAATTTTCTGAACTGAAGTAATTTTTTATGGATTCAGAGTCTCATAGAAGAGCATAATAACTCCAAAATCTCTTGGGTTTTTTTGATCTCTGTATGCATTAGTACTTCAAAACACAGCTAAAGTAAATCTTGTTTGCAAATTAAATTTCGGTAAATGACAGGAACATCCATACAGAGGAGCTTTCACAGAATAGAAACAGGGCTACAGTATGTTCCAAGCAGCCCTCAGTTTCTCAACAGTAGGAGAGTTAAGCATCATTTGTCCTTGCTCATATTATTAATATGCTTTCGTGAATGTAGGCATTCAGAAGAAAACATCCACCTATTTTCTTCTTAGTGAAGAACATCCAGAAAAAAAAATTTAGGAACATAATCTGCCCCCTTTGGAATATGCTTTGTGATCACTATACGAGATGAGAACATCTTCACCCATCTCCTCCAGCTTTATCATACCTAATTTTACCAACAGAAAATTGCTTTCTGTCCACCACCTGACGGGATTGTTGGCTCCAAGTCCTCCAAGTACGAAGCAAATACAGACAGAAGAGCTGTGAACAAACTATCACCTGCTCAGATACAGTTTACAGCAAGTCTCTGGGCGAGGCTCAGTGTGCAAAGTAAGAAAGTACCAGTCAGGACCAACAGAAGCTTTTACAAATTCAGTTATTACCCTCAATACTTCTCAAAAATAATTTAGTCACAATAAAAATCTCAATTTATCTAAGGAAAAAAAAAAAAAAACAAAAAAACTGACCAAAAAACATGGTCTCTTGGAACAGATTCTTGAGGCTTCCTGTCAAACCTACCGAACCCTGGCTATAGAGTGATGAGAACATCAGTCTCCTGCTGTACCTTGCTTGAAAGATGTGCAGAAAAACTTGATTAAAATCCCATGCAGTGTCATTCAGACAAATGTGAGATTAAACATTCGTGAAATTTGATCTTATTGTTCTGAAAATAGCAGATTTGCAGATTTCCTTATTTGATTAATGCACATCTAGTGCACAATCCTGATTCAGCCAGGTAATGAAACTGTGCTTTTTTTGGATACAACTAAGAGAATATCCTAAGAAAGTACAACACAATCTACCTAAACTCTCAAATCATTCAGCCATGTGTTACTGGAAATGTGGTTTTCAAACAGTACTTCAGTAACGCCGCAGCTCAGCAGTCCTGATATGCACAGAACTGTTAACAAGAAACAAGGTCCACTGCTATAATAACTGAGTTTACCTGGGCAGTAGGTATTTCTGATTTAACCAAAGAGATCCTGCACAACTGAAATAGCTCCTCCACCCGTCCCCTCTCTCTTTCTACACATTTCTTCCCAGCATAAACTGAAAGCTCGTTTTAATACCATGCTACAGATGTTACACAACATTTCATATTCACATTTAAGAGATCCTTACCTGCTCAGAGAACAGGATATTCTACTTAATATTTAAAGGAAAAGCCACTGCATATGTGCAAATATTGTCTTTTTTTCTTCCTCATTTTCTTGAATGACTAAGGTATCTTTCCCAACTAATGTTATAAAACCCCCCTTACCTTCAGGGACATTCCACATGTTAGAAGTCTGAATGCTTTATGATCTATGTCTCATCAGTCACTCATCCACCTTCCTACCCTGATCACTGACTGCAATTTTTTTAAATTTGCTAGAAAAGAAATCAAGGAACCCTTAAAGCATGGTTTCTTCTGGCTCAGAACAAACAGAACAACATTTTTATGCAGGTCTAGCATCTTTTAAAGCAGTATTACTCTTTGTAAACTAACACTGAAGCACAACTACAGGTATATCAACCTTTTATACTAAAGCTGAGATGAACTACATTTTCCCTCTTCATTTATTAGGATGAATTGCATTACAAGATCTATGAACAGCATATACCAAATAAAATCCAGAACAGATAACTGTATTTTCAAAGAACCAGCTCTCTCTTTTGCAGAGTTTCTATAGACAAAGATTTTTATTCAAAGCAAGAACAGACCATAATTTCATTGTTTTTGTAGTGTGAAAAAATACTCCATCGTAGCCTGCTTTCATCTTACAGGTAATACCTGAACTGCACAAGGGATGGAGGGGGGGGAGATCACTTGACTCATGCATCCTTACTTTCCAAGACTGTAAAGAAAACTCTTATTAGACAGGAGTTTGAGCACCCAGAGAAAGAAGCAAAAAGGAAAACACTGAGGATGCTTGGGATCACTTCAGAAAGCAGTTTTTAATCACCTACACCTATATATTGTCCCTTACTGTACCCTTTACTGCAGTACTAAAATTCATCCTCAGCACTTCCAGACAGATTAGTGTCCATCCTAAAGTTGCTAGGCATGGGGAAGGGAGTCAAATGTGGGAAGACTTGGCTTCCATGCACTTGAGGTATTAAGAGGGCAGCCGAAGGTCCTGGAGTCACAGGATGCTTCATTGCTGTTTTCCTGGTTAATAGATACTGGGTAAATGAACAAGAGTGAACTAACCATAAGACTAAGTAACATTTTGCTTCAAGAACCATCCAACCCTCTTGTACCTTCTTGCTCTCATCATCTCCCCACCCTCAGAGCTCCTCCAACTCTCAAACATTCACACTGCTTTATCTTCCTCCTGGGAGCAGGACAGTGGAAGGGAGGATCACACTTTAGGGACCTTGTGACACTACACTACTTGATGATATAATTAATGTCTTCTTTTCAATGACACATGCAGCTGTCACTGTGCAGTACAGCTAAGAAATACACATACACAAATCTCAAAAGTGTAAGAGCTGTGCATTAATAGCTTCAAAAGAAAAAAAGTTTGCCTTGAAACACAGTACTTAGAGACCTCAGACCCAGCAAAGCTTCTTTCTCCACTATCTCCTACCCTCCTCTTGTAAACTGCACAGGGCTGGTGGGGTAAAATAATATACATTAGCAATAGATGAACTAGCACACACTGGAGGACTTGTTCAAGATCCTGGACCACTTGCAGCCTGTTTGTCCAGCCTTGTGAGAATGATACACTTCAGTGTATTATATAATTCTAACCATACAAACTGCTCTGTAATGTAACTTAGAACATTCAACATTCAACAAAATATCAGAGTGACACTGAGCTGGAACATTCTCCTCACATAAATACAGTGTAAGACAATGATGAGGAAAAACCTGATGGGGCTCCAAGTTCCCATTTCATCATTTGCTCTGCCCCACCATACATACTGCATTCATTGTAGATTTCTAGAAGTGTGAACAACTGCTAAAGACAGGACAACATTTAAATGGCTTTCTGTTAAACTTTATTTTAATAACATAAATACAATTTTTAAAAGAGTTAATAGTAAGTTGTTAAAATAGGACAACGCCTGCCAATGTATCACATCCAGCCCTTGATCAAAAATATAAATTATTCAAAGCACTACCTCTTCCAATCACAGAAAATAAGACTATAAAATGTATTTCAAAGAAGCACAGGATATTAAAAATTCCACTAAGTCAGAAATCTAAGTCTACTTGAAAGCATGGCTTCAAACACAAATATTAACGTGGATAAGTCTCTCAAACATACTGTGTGTGATGCTGAGGTGTTACAAACCACTAAAAGCTGAGCTAACCTGGTTGCAAGTCAATGCCAAGATACATGTATAATTTCATTAAGTCTTCTGATCTAAGAAAAGATCTGTGTAACCCAAAAACCCCCCCAGCTCTATTAATAAATTCAGAGACAGCAGTAAATGAAGACAAATACAAAAGCTAAATTATGCCTCCAGTTTGTTATTAACTGTATCCCCTCTTCCTCCACACATACAGCTGCAGCGTGGCCAACAGCAGTCAAGTTGTTTGATAGCTTTCTGAATTTGTAATAGAGATGTTGCCCATAAAAACATTTCTATTCCAGAGTACACGATCCTTAAAAGGGATTTATCCCAGCAGAACTGCAGCACGAGTGGCATTTCTTTGTAGCTATTCCGATCTGTGCTTGCAAACTCCAAGAAATCCAACATTTAAATAAGAATGCCAGAAGACCACTTTCACCTGACCTCCTGCTGGTGCTATTGCTGCTGGCTGGGGCCAGCTCAGGGCTCACCCACACGGGGCTCTTCTCAAAGATGGAAGCTGTACCAACACTCTTTATGTCAGATACGCCTTCCTTATGAAAAAAGGACATATCTTGAAAATTTTATGTGCTAGTTTTAAGTTACACTGCAAAATTATCCACTCCATATTTACCTATCACAAACTTCCATAATGATTTAACTTGTTCTGCTGTGTGAGTTAAACCTTGGTACAACTGACATGGATTAAGTACAATACTAGCACATGCCCTTAAAAGACAAAATAATATAAAAAAAAAAATCAGAAAAACTGTAACGAGTGCAAAGAAAGTATCTTAAATGCTTCTGTGAGCTCTGTGTCTTGCATTTTAACCATAGTTCTCCCTATAGTACTTTTTTATATATCAAGGCTGTGATTTCCAAAGACCAGGCGTGTTAGAGGTAGCTCCTCCAGCAGAACTGGTTCCTAAAAATCACAGCACGTTCCCAGACTACTTGTTTAAAACCTCTCTCCTTCCCTCCAGCTCTCCCAGGAGCTACACCAGTGCTCAACACAGACAGGCAGCTCCTGCCCCCTTACCTTCCCAACCAGCAATCCCCAGGCTCTGTTCCCACTTCTCCTCCCCAAAAAAGTCACTTCTGAAGACAAACTACTCTGTTCTTATGCATTCAGTATAAAAGCCAGAGACATGAAAATGTTGTGTATTTTACTTTAAAAAAAGTACACTGCATTCTAATTTAAATTAAATGGACTTTTAAAGAATAAAGTTACTTAAACGTGAAATTATAATAAAACAATAGATCAACTTTTAATAATTCCTTAGAAGGACTTTAATTAGACAAATATTGAAGAATACATGTTCACTACCCATATTTTAAAGACAGATGCAGTCATTAATTGGGGAAATCACCAGTAAACAGAACTATACTGTCTTCAAGTAATGAATCAGCTACTGACAACTCTAACTTCCATTCTACAGATTTTAGAGTATTTTATTTCAGATTAGTTTATATATTTGAATTCAGTAACCACTTCACCTGAAATAAGAAAATGCATAAAGGTTTTAAAAAGTATGAATTTTATCTATATCAAATATCTGAATAAAAGTAATTAGAGCAGTGAAATCAAACCTCCACAGATTTTTTTTTCCACTTCCCTAATGAACAGTGGCAACTTCAAGGCCATTTTAATATTTAATATTGACACTAATTATTTTTAAATTTAACTTTTAATAAACCTTCATACATATCGAACACTATTAATGCATTTTTAGTCAACTAATTTACAAGGATTATAATACTTGTCTTCTGCAGTGTCTCTGAAGAATACATGAAGGTATGATGAACCCCAAATAAATTAAACTGCCAGCAACACAGCCCCAAATCTACGAGAACAAGTTTGAGTATATGTTAAGCACTTTACTGCTCTGTTACAAATATTGATCAGGTATGTTTATCAGGGCACTGTAACAATGAAGGAAGAACTTTACTCAGAAGTAAAACTGGTTCTCTGAATGAAAAACTTGCACTAGGGAGAGGACAAAAGCCTGTTTGCTGCAGTCCTCAACTGCAACTGAAGCTGTAACCTCCTGCCTTAGATCAGCAAAAGTAGGTGGGTGAAGATGCAGAGCAAGTCACAGATTTAAAGATATTGCAAAGGCCCTCCACAGCAAGAAAGGAAACACAAAAATGTTTTAATTGAAAAGGTTGTTATTAAATATACCCATCTGCAACCCAGGCTTATTTTTGACCATTTCTCAACCTAAGTGAAGAAGTCCTGTAAGCTACAAAAAAGATAAAATCCAAAAATAAAATCCACTGGTCCCCCTGCCCCGTAGTAACGACCTGAGAAATTGCAGCTGTTCACCAGTAATGTCATGGAATTGCCTGTTTTCTGCTGTTATTGTAAGAATATTTTGACATTAATCAACACATGCAGCCACTTGCTTTTTCAAGTTACCTGCTAAGGAATCTGGTATGTACATATACATGCTCGTTTACAGACACACTTGCTATTATCATTCTCTCAGGTCTTGGTAAGCCCTGAAATTCCTACCATTCTGAAGAAGCTTCCAAAAAAAGCAAGGGAGCAAAGCATTAAGTTGTGTGCCAGATACTCAAAGCACAGACACTGGGCGTTTCTACTTTCTCTGCTTTTCCTTCCTCTTCCTGTAAATCACGCAAATTCTCTTCAATTCCTCACAATGAATCTTCTCCACCTCTGCTGGTTACTTTATGATACACTTTTGCAACATCCCACATATATTTTCCTTGTTGAAACTATTTTTCCACTTCTTAGAGACTTTTCACTTTAGATTGTCTCTTTCCTAAAAAAAATTTCAAATACTTCATGACTATCAACTTAATTCTTTCCTCCATGAATCGAGGGACAAGCAGAGAGACCTGACTGTTTTTTACTCACCATCCTTGGAAACCAAACATATTTCATGTTTGAAGAAAAGCCCTTAGGCAACTTGCAAAGAAACAACAATGTTTCAAGTAAGCTCAACTTTTCCATGGCTTTCAGAATTCCCTCAGTATTGATCTGAAAGTCAGGAATATTTCTGAGATAAGGTAATTTCTTCTTCAGAAGTTGAAAAAAAAATTTTCAGTCTTTAAGTTTAATTTAGCTGTAATACTTATTAGAAATTACTTACTGAACCATTATTAATCAATATGGTCATGGAAGGAGTTAATGTAATTTAATTTTAAGTAACTAGAAGACCTGTATATTTGTAATATTATTTCTATTTGTATCTAAAGAGGAAAACAGTTGCTAAGGCCTATGAGTAAAATGCTAAATATTGACTAATGCAAAGGGGTAACCATGACTTCAGCAAAAAGAACAAAGCATATCTTTCCCAGTCTCTTCAAAGGAACAGGGAAGAAGTTGGTATCTGCTGCAAGAAGCAGCAAAACTGCTTGAATACAAGTAGAACAAGCTCCACTGCAAAACACTGTCTGAGACTATTTCAGGGTGGAAGAGACATCTAGAAGTCACCTGGTACCATCACCTGGTCAAAGCAGGACCAGCTTCTACGTCAGACCAGGCATTCCAGTAAAATTCTGACTGTATCTAAGGATGAATGTTGCACAACCTCCCCAGGTAGCCTGTTCTAATACTTAACCACACTCACAGTAAAAATTTCTTTCCTAATTTCTCACCAAAATTTCCTTTAGAGTGTGCCCATAACCAACCTAAGCACCTTAGAGCTATCTGCAAATATTTGCAAATTGGTACTACAAACTTCAACTACACCCAAACCCCGGCTACTTCTTGGAAATTAAAAACTGCATGTCCACAACAGGATGAGGGACCAGTCTGGAGAATTTTCCTCTTTCAACTTAAGTAATGTGACGAAGATAGAAGAATCCTGGATTTATGTTTGTTTTGTTGCTTTCAACCTTGAAATCTTCGCTGCAACAGCAAAGTATCAAACTAAGGCCGACGTTCTTTCCCACTCCTGGAACACAGGTGTGCATGTGTGCACACACAGACTGAATCAAGCCAAACACCAGTGCTTAGAGCAGGTCTAGAAGTTTGGTGACACTATTCTTGGCCTCTACAGGTTAAAGAGATGAAAATGCACAAGGAACTTGGCAATTATGCAAAAACACCTGTCCGGTTTTGGAAGAGAAGTGTTTACAAGTCCGCAGGCTGTACCAAACAATACAGAACCCTCAGTGTGCTCACGGCTGCCTCCTGGAGCAAACCCCACAGGAAACTCAAAAGGGAGAACAGCAGTTTCAAATACCTTTAGCTAAAGTGTAATACTGCACGGGTCCAGAGAGGACTTTTGCTCCATAAAAGCTTAGCTGTGAATGTGTGTGTGGGGTAGGACTTGAAAAAGCTTAGATATGTGCTCTGAGACACTATTCATTTAAATACCAGCACATGGGAAGAGGCTGATGCAAGTCTGCTCTTCAAATCAGTTGTCAAGCTATGGATCAAGCATAGTCTTGAAAGAGACAGCTCTGCTACATCCTTTAATCTAATACTGCAGATACACACCAGAAACAGAACAGAAAGATTGTCATTTGGGTACTTCCCAGGCTTCCTCCTCTCCACATTTTAATGGGTTCATTGAACTGTGATTCTTGAAAGTAAAAAGCTCATATAATATCTCAAAATCAAGCACTAAGCAGTAATTGATCTAAGCATGGAAAGAGAATATGAAACCTTTCATAATCAAGTATTTAAATGGCAGTACCAAATCAGTCTTCTCTGTCTCTCTGAAAACATATGGAAAGCTCTGTGCACAAACATGTGAAAGGTGCACAGCCGGGAGAACAAGTCATCTTACACAGAGACCAGTGAGATATGTACATGCCTGCTGGACAGGCAGAGCACTACTGCTCAAGTGCCAGCCACAGCAATGCAGTACCACCAACAGCTCAGATACCATTCTGCCTTTCTGCCACTTCTCTAAGCTACAGGCAACTACAGAATCAGATCTGCCAGACACAGCTGCTAATAAGGAGTAAGGAAATAATCATAAAATGGAGTTTCCCACAAACTAGTTATAATCTTCATACTTAAACTTCAGTTCCTGATAGGGCATGAGATAGTAACATTAGTCTGTTCCAAATATTATTTTTTAATTCAATGCAATTTGACAAAGGAGTTCAGGTTCTAATAACTGGATTTTCAAAGTTTTTAATAACTGGCTGGAAAGGCAACAGATGTACAAATGAGTGTCTTCACTAACTGAAAAGCAGGTTATTTGTGAATATCTCACAGCCTCAGCTTGGCCCATCAAGTAGGCACACCAAGCTAATTTAGATTGGTTACACTATCTCTTGGCTGCTAGGAGCACCAGAAGGCACGGGGAACTGCATACTGCAATCTCTTCAGTGAGTCAAGTTCAAAGGGATCGAGTATGTACACGTATAGGGAACTGAAATTCAGGAAGTCAAACCTTCACTTCTGCTGGTCATATAACTTGCTCCATGGTGTACTATGTATTTTTGGTATTGTCTCTATTTAAGCATTTGCTAAAATAGACCTAGTCTGTACTACAACACCTGACCACTAGAATGTCCTTCTTTTCCAGGAAGCGTCCATACAGCACATCAGGCAGACCAGTCACCTGCCTGCAAAAGGAACTCCAAACAAAAAAATCCCACTCCAAGCACCGGGAAACACACAACTCTGTTACAAATCAAAAATATGACCTTATTTTACCTGGTACATATTTACCTTGAACATGGAGAATGATTAGCAGATAGGCTCCAAGCAATTGCTCATGAACTCTCAATCGAGTCATTGTTCACTTTAATCCTTCCTGTGCAAGGCGACTGCCCCTTCTGCTTGACAAATGTTAAGCTCAGTCTGTTCGGTGAAGCCTAATACAAGATTTGGTGCTTGACTGCAAAGATGCTTTCCTAACTTTTCCACCTTCGTTTCCTGAAAGATACAATAAAACAAAGTGTTAAGAAACCCTCTGTATTTCGGAAGAAAGAAAAAATATTCAAGATTTTACATCACATTGATTGTAACCATGTGTCTGGGAAAAAAAAAGCATATGTTTATTAAGATTTATTAAGAAAACATTAGCCATGTTTACTATCCAATGGAATAGCAGGGTTCTTCTGAAATATGCACTTCTGGTAAAAACCCACAGGGATGCTTTTACATTCCTATAGAAAAAATATTAGATATGTTAATGCAGTAGTCACAGTTGTATAATTTTAGACTTGCATACAGCTTTTATAGGTAGTATTCAACAGATTAACACAGACTGAATAGAAAACTATTTTCTTTACAGACATGAGAACTAATTTTCATTATTTTTCTTAGAATTGAAACTCGATGGTGACTATCCACAATACTATAAGGGAAAAAAGCACTACCATGTTAGGCCACAGTTGAAAAATGCTTGTAGAGAAACTTTATTGCAAAAACACTCAGCCTCTCTGATGGAAGAAAACTAAATTTGTATTAAATTTAACAATTAGTTTAGTTACTTAATATACTTACATTACCTATGTCTCCTAGAACAGCACCACATCTTTAACAACAACAAAAAAAAGACAATATTAACTCCAATTTAGAATCAAGACATCCTTCTGGATATCCCCAAGTTGTGGGCAAATTAATCCCTCCTGAAAAATTACGCTACTATAGACACACGCCATTTGCTCCACAAATAAAATATAACTCTCCTCATGCAGAGGGTGAACACACAGCTAAGACAGCCAAGCTGAGTAAGAAGTTACTTTTTCAGACTGCAAGAGTTGTGGTCACATTCTGCTTAAAGAACTTTTCAGTGGTAACTCACAAGGGAAGTGTAATTGGGCCTCAAAGGACCAAAAAGCAGCTCGAACACCTAAACAGTTAATGGTAACAAAAGCAGTGCTGCACAGCCATGAACAGAGGGCTGATTTTGCCTTTCCTCGGCCTCTTGTTTCGGCGGGGTTGACCCCCTGACCCCTGTCAGCCTGGCGCTGCTCATGAATGCCAAGCCTGGCGTTCGCCCGGGGATGGGTCGCAATTACTGCTGGTGGCCGCTTCCAGCACCAATAACTCAATCTGTCTGTCGGCGAGACCCAAGAACTTTTCATTTTAATTAGTCTTCGGAGGCATTTAACATGGAGGCAAATTAGCGGCCGAGCCGGGAGGTGTCCGTCACTTCCAATTTCGGCGGGCGCGGCGGCCGCCCCGACCCCTGGCCTACTTTTCACACATCTCTGACTTCTCCCCAGCGCAGGACAAAGCGCCTCCGCGCCAGAGTTCCCCCAGCTCCATGGCAGCCCTGGCCTTTGCCAGGATTGCTGCCAGGTTATGGTGAGAGGCTCAGAAACACGCTTTGTAGGCATCTGGAGCACCAGTGACTTCAGAGTGACCTTCCTGGCCTGGCAGAGGTAAAGCAATGTGACAGCAGAAATATTCACTCCTTAGTCCTCCCTATACACAAGAAACGGGACCAGTTCTGACAGCTGACAAGGAACGTCCTTCTAGTTATAAAACATCAGACCAGCAACGTAAACCTGTAAGTAATACTGCTTTATTCTGTGTTTCAATGGCAATGAACTTCCAATCCTCAATAAAACACGTGGAAGATGAAAACTGCCAACAGTTTGTATGTAGTAATACAATGAAGACTTTATTTACAGTATTCCATCAAGCAAAAAACCACCACCCCCCCAGTAATAGCCTGTTTAAAGTATATTTAAAAATAATTTCTTGTCCATGCAAGTTTCAGGAAGGAACACACAGTCACACTCTTGTACATTTCAAGAATAGGGGCGTTTTAAACTTTCAGAAAATTGGGGATCTTGCTCCCCAGTTCGATAAGGTCAGCGGGCACACTGGCACAGGAACATCTATTTGCTATTGTACCATGAAGCATGTTACCAAAAAGTCAAGAAAAAATGGGAAACCACAACATTTTAATGCAACTCACTCCAATTTCATGATGATTTTTGTTCAGTGAGACAAGCTAAGATAGTTTCCAAAAGTGTTGTCCAAACCTATGCAAGAAATAATGCTCTCCACCTGAACCAGTATTTTGTACCTGAGTCTTCCTTCCGTCAATATTTCACTTTTCACAGGTATATATGTATTAAAATGTATACATGTATAAAAATGTATATAAAACCATATAATAAAACAAAACAGAGAACAAATTCTGTTATAATTCCCCATTTTAAACCCACTCTAATTTGAGAATGCCTATCAGCATTTAAAAGAATACCTCAAAGATGCAAAGAAAAATTCCTATGCACATATGGCACCATCACTTGGTGGATCTTTCTGTTGGTGCTACAGTCAGTGCCAAGTTCCCCCTTAGCCAGGAAGGCCCCATGGCTGGTTCAAGGCTTGGGCAGACAAGCACTGCTGAGCCCTGCTGCACTGATGGCAACACAATTGGTGGCTTAAGCTCACCTGCCCCACAGCAGCATGTCCCAGAACTATGTGAACTGCAGTGTGGACACATATCCTATTCTACTGCCCATCCCCTGAACCCTTTGTTTTCTTCCTGTAAGTCTCTGAGCTAAACAAGCTAAGACAATTCGTTCTCTAATAGTCTATTTTGGTCTTGTGCAGAAACAAAACTGAGCACATTTAATTCTAAAGATCACCTGGCACTCCAATGCAGCTACGTAGTTTAACAGCTTAAAAACCTTCCAAAAAATCAGACTAGTGTTTTAGTGCTTCTAACAAATGCCACACCCCAAAAGGACATAGTTATGACCTTCATATGAGAAAATCTTTCACTAAAACCAAAACAAATCACACAATCTTTAATGGATCCATCTTTAATGAATTCCCATTAAAGAGGAAGACTAGCAGTCCTGCTAAGGCACACTATTGAAAGTGAGCAACAGCTGGAATTTCTCCAAAACCTACTTGATGTAACAGTGTAAAATGACACAACTAAATAACCACTTCAAATGTGTTAAAGCCCCAATTAACACCTGGAATGCTACTCTGCCAACAGAATCATGCTGAAGAAATTCAAACCCATAAGCCAATCAGTTGATTTTGAAGTTTCCAATCTCTCTTTTTTCTACTGTAGCCAAGAAGAAGCTTTCAGCTATGACCCATTAAAAAGTAACTTATTCATCAATTGTAACACCCAATTTGTCTGCAGTGTATTTTATTATCCTTCCTAATAAGAGTTTATTGAAGAAAATGCTTTTGTTATTAAAACTGTGTGTGTTTCTTTCTGAAGTGGAACTTGGCAGTGAATTCACGGCACTATCACGACAGTCTAGTCCTATGCTCTGTATGATTCCAAAAAAATAAAGTTGGAAGTGTGCAAGATCTGTCATATGGTCCAAAATGACTCCGAGTTCAGTGGTAACTGTTCTTTAGATGTGGCTATGTAATATTTTTAACAGCATGATCCCCAAACCAAATGAGCTGTGCTGTTCCAAATTTCAATAAAGAATGATATTGCTGAATGCAACAACAAAGACAGTACTGTAAAAGGGGAGTACATGAAAAAATGTCAATCTTGGACTTCACAGTAATTAGAACATATAATCCACTTCAACAGACAAGATATTTCAAAATATTTGCAGCAGTACATATAATACTAAGTTAATGTATTTGCCAAAACAAAACTAAAACATATTAAATGTTTCTCCTATGTGTAACTGGGGCAAGAAGTGACTCAGGTAGCTGTAAGCATATTACTTCAATCACAAGTACAGTTTCGAACAGAACTTTGAGCTGGAACAGAATGCCAGAGATAAACTGGACTGTCAGTCTAAGCCAGTGCATGACAACTTTCCTGTTAGATTACAAAAAACCTGATACGGTGCCACAAAGAAAATTACTGCTTTGGATGAAGGAAAGAGGGATTGTAAGAACAGCAGAGAATTCACTATGGGGCAGACAAGTATTTTCAAGAACAGAGATTAGCAGTCTAGTTTAAATGACATTCAAGGACCTTGATTCTTGATTCAGCTTGATTGAAGAACAGTCACCATTTTCATTAATGAACTAGGCACAAAAAGCAAAATTTCAATAAACTTTGCTGACAAACATGAATTGTCAGTTCAGCTGAGTGTTGCTTTTATGCAAGAAGATTTGGGATCACATGAAGAACCAAAGTAACAGAAGTGGAATGAAGTCCAACTGCATGAAACTGGGAAAGTTATGTGTATTGGTAACTCTGAGGAATTTCTGCTTCGCATAGACCAAAAGCTTATGCATAGGAGCCAGCTGTGTCCAAGGACTCAAGGACACCGACTGATTACAGAACATCAGACACATCCATGTGATGTTGCAGGGAGAAAGACACAAACACTACTCTAGTATTTCCTAGGGAAATTTCCCAGGGGAAACAGTAAGGCATGAATAGCAGAGACAATACGATTGATAAATTCAACATATGCCCAGGAGGATTGATCCTCACTATCTCAAGAACAGGAAAGAAAGACATTTGGAGATGTGCTGGGTTTGCATGGCCAGGTTTTGGTAGCGACAGGGCTCCAGGGGTGGCCTCTGTGAGAAGCTGCTGGAAGCTTCCTTTCCCCATGTCCAGCAGAGCCAAGGCCAGACAGGTCCAGGATAGACTAGCCACTGGCCCAGGCTGAGTCCATCAGGAATGACAGTAATGCCTCTGGGATAACATGCTTAGGAAAGAGAAAAAAGTTGTTGAGCAGATGAAAATTGAAGCCAGAGAAGAGAGGAGTGAACACATGAACAACTCTGCAGACACCAAGGTCAGTGCAGAAGGAGGGGCAGGAGGTGCTCCACGTGCTGGAGCAGAGATTCCCCACAGGAGCAGGGGAAGGACTCCTCTCCCTGAGCAGCAGCAGAAACAACCTGTGATGGACTGACTGTAATCCCCATTCCCATCTCCCTGCACTGCTGGGGGGTGGGAGGAGGTAGAACTTGGGAAGAAAGGAGGGGTGGGGGGAAAGTGTTTTTAAGATTTATTTTACTTCTCA